ATTTGTAGAGCGCTAATTACAAACAAAATTTTTCTCAAAAGCACTGTCTAAAAAAAAAAAAAAAAAAATAACATTTGAATTATTGCTACGATAAACCAAATCTTAAAATCTTATAATGAAAACAAAAATGATTTCAATAATTTCTTGAACAATTTTTCTGTCAGTTCGGGCTGTCTTAGATGACTTGGTAGACTATTCCAAACGGCTGGTCCACATACTGAAAAACTTCTCTCAGCCATTTTCAAGTTGGTTTGGGGCACACATAACAAGTTGCTATCATCAGACCTTAAGCAGACATTTTTAAAAGACAGTTGTTTCGGTGCATGCATTTCTTTCAAATAAACTGGCGCCATTCCCTATATACATTTGAACATTCTTTTTTTGACCATCAACCAGTGCAGTTCAGTTCTTTGAATATCGGGGTAACATGGTCAAACTTTTTCGCACCAATTGACTGAAGCACAGATAACGATTTTTCAGGCAAACCATAAAATAGGCTGTTGCAGTAATCCAGTCTAGAATGAATAAACGAATGCACTAAACTTTGAATAACATCTTTGGTTAAGCTTTTGCGGATTATTTTTAATTTTCGCAGTTGTAGGGTTGCAGAACCAGATAAAAACTTGATATGTTCAGTCATTGCCAGTCTAGAATCAAAAATGACACCCAAGTTTGTAGCTTTGGAAATGAAGTTTATATTTGAGCCCTCAATGATAACTGAATTAATTATAATTCTAGACAGCTGTTGCCAAGTTCCAACCAGAAGAATTTGCGTCTTACTTTGATTGAGCTTAAGACGATTATTTGCCATCCATTTCTCGATTTCGACCAAACATTTAACAAAACGATCAACTGCAAGATGAAAGTTGCTATTGGATTCTGTGGCGAATAGCTGAATATCATTTGCAAATGCATGACACTCCAAACCATGTAATCCGATCGCCTCAATAATTTCAGAGGTGTAAAGAATAAACAAGATCGGTCCAAGAACCGAGCCCTGTGGAACACCAAATCTTATCGTTTGAACCGAAGAAGTCTTATTCTTGTAGATTACCTGTTGAGTTCTGTTTGTTAAGTACGACCGAAACCATTGTTCGACAGAGCCAGTTATTCCAAATCTATGATTAAGACGTTTCAAAAGAATGCAATGGTCAACACAGTCAAATGCCGAACTCATATCTAAGAATCCAAGAAGAGATGGTTTACTGTTGTTTATATTTTCATGCAACTTAGATAACACATGCAACAAAGCAGTTTCGGTAGAATGATGTCTTCTATAGCCTGACTGATATACCGGTAACAAATTGTTTTTATTTAAGTGTTTCATAAGCTCCTTAGAAACTAATCTTTCAATTAATTTTGACAAGAACGACAGATTTGAAACCGGTCTATAATTATTAAGATCAGAATTGTTTAATTTTTCCTTTTTCAAAAGAGGAGAAATTGTAACATGCTTTAACATAGCCGGAAACTCACCAGTACGTAAAAATAAGTTTATAAGATCAGTCAAATATTTTGAAAACAATCCTACATATTTTTTGAAAAAGTGTGAAGAAACACAATCCAGTGAACATGTTTTAGATGGAGAGTTCAAAACTGCTTCAACAATTTCGCTTTCGTCATAAACAGGAAAAACTGAAAACAAGTTGCTGCAGCAGACACCAGATGAATGATTAAACTTCTCATCATACACCATTTATTCTCGTACATTATTAATTTTGTCATAAAAGAATGTAGCAAAATCGTTCGCTTCAAAATTGGTAGATGAATTTGAAGTTTTTTCTTTGCACAACAGCTTATTTACCACAGTCCAAATTTTTTAGGATTTTTATTTTCAAAAATGATTTTTTTCCAAAACAAATTTTTTTTTCTGGACGAATAAAATATTTTTTGATCGCAGAGCATTTTTCCACACCTCCCTATCGTGATGATTTAAAGTCTTTCTGTACTTTCTTTCCATTTTTCTACAGTATGCCTTTGACTTTGAACAATCCCCATCAAACTACGGCGTCAACGAATCATCTCGACTTTTAACCACGTGTTCTGGAGCTATTATGTCCGCAATTCTCTTCAGTTCATTCACAAAAATCTCTACCAGCGTTTCTATATTATCATCTTGGCATGGCCCTCCAATCGGGGATTTCGAAATTAACAATGCGAGATTTTCTTCATTTATGCGTCGCTAGGATTGAACCATTTTTTTACTTCTCGTACCTATAACTTGATTGATTGACAAACAAACCTGGATTAATCCATGATCTGATAACACTCCACTGGGAAAAATCAAACTATTAAAGATAGGAAAAGAGCGAAAAGTAACGATCAAGTCCAAAACACTACCTAATTCATGCGTTGGTTCGTTAATCCTGTTAACCAACTGAAAACAATCGAAAACCTCATTCAGTAAGACTGTGTTTGGATCATCTTTTCTCTCCATATGAACATTAAAATCTCCCGCAACAACGATTTTATCACTTAACAGAGATAAAACTTCTAAAACATTCGCTAGCTCTGAAAAGAACGATGGTGCAGGAGGAACCGATCCAGGTCTATAAATTGGTAACAAAATAAAATCAGATTTGTTTACTCTCAATTTAATTGCAACAGCTTCAAAAGTTATCACGGCGTGTAACTCAACGGGCTTATAAATGAACTCTTTCTTGAAATAAATTATAATTCCGCCATGATATGGATCGTGAGGTCTGACGTAATCTACAAACTTATAACCAGGGGGCATCGCGCAACGAACAGCAAACTCATCTGACGACCCATGCCATGTTTCAGTTAATACAAGAATATCCAATTCTCCACAAATTATATCACACACCATTTCATATTTTGACATTATAGATCTTATGTTGAGGAGCCCCAGGCCAATTTTTAAATCATTGTAATTTTTCATGATTAATTTTTGAGCTGTAGCATGAATCATCCTCCGACTGGCCCTCCAGTCAACAACATCCTCATCAGTTAATTTCTGAACTTCACAATCCGCCATCTTCCCACAGGACCTCTGACTCTGTATAAAAAATTGTCTTTGCGTGCCGCTTCTTTCGATTTTGCATCAGCTACCTGTTTCTTTAATTCACTTCTCTGCTCAGGTGTCAGATCATTGCTAATCCAGACTTTACTCAGTTCGACCGACATTAATTTCAATTTGTGTGCATTTTTCATCACGGTCTCTTTAGACATCAAACTATCCAACACTATCAATATTGGACGTATGGATGATTCATTTTTCTTCCCAAGTCTTGTAACATATTTTATATGTGAATCTTTTATATCATCAGACAATTTTAACAAAATATTTTTAACACGAATTTTATCATCTTCACCTTCTTGTAAATTGAAAATTATTATATTTCTTTCTCTGTCTTTTATATCAATTGGCTCAGTTAATTTTCTTTTAACCGTTTTAACTTCCAGATTGACACACTCAATGTTTTTCTTCACTTTTTGGCCAACAACAGTAGCAAAAGAAGATTTCAAATCACTTTTGAATGTGCTGATCTCAGCAGATAACTTGCTATCAGGCCTATCAAGGCTATCTAATTTTGCACTGTTACTGTCACTGACTATTTTAGAGAAAGTTTTAACGTTGCGGAATTTCTTCAGACAAATATCACAAAATCATTTAAAACTATCGAAACTACGTGTCACTTCAAAAGCTTCATCACTCAAACCAACACATTTTATGTGAAAACTATTTTCGCACTGAAAACATTGAATGCATTGCAAATTTTCTTTTCCTGATTTCACACATTTTGTTTTCGTACATTTTGAAGCCATATTAATTTGATTGTTGTGTTGTTCGTTGTCCGGGTGAGTTCCGAAACGAAAAAAACAGCAAAAACAGCACTAAATTAAACTTTTAAACGGAGAAAAAATATATATAAATATTCGTCAAAATTTTCTCTATCAAATGAAATTAAATTTAAACTAAATACTCGATTTTAAACTATGAAATTAAGAAAATATACGGAGCAAATCAAAATGTGGCCTGCACGTGCTACCGATGAGCGATGTATGTATGTATGTATGCATGCATGCATGCATGCATGCATGCATGTATGTATGTATGTATGTATGTATGTATGTATGTATGTATGTATGTATGTATGTATGTATGTATGTATGTATGTATGTATGTATGTATGTATGTATGTATGTATGTATGTATGTATGTATGTATGTATGTGTGTGTGTATGTATGTATGTATGTATGTATGTATGTATGTATGTATGTATGTATGTATGTATGTATGGATGTATGTATGTATTGTAAGAATTTCTGTTTAGGTGGCCATACCAGATGAATTTTATACAAATTCTATTATGGTTATCCTGTATGTATGTATGCATGTATGTATGTATCTATGCGTGTGATCCGGTTATGTGTGTATGTAGTTCATCAATTTTGAAAACAACAACAACATTAATAATAATAATTTTCTAACTCCAAATACAAAATATTAATAATGACATAATTATAAAATCCTATTTAATCTAAAATGCTCGTCACTGCGAGTGAGTACATTCTAGAGGGGCTGGTTTAATTGTTCAATTGGGGTTCAATCATTCTTATTATTTTGGCGTTATCAATCAAATTTTGTGGTAAACATAGAGTTGCAATAAAGTTAATAAAAAGTCAATAATATATTTTATACAGTCTGAACTTTGTCTCTATAGTGCTCGACATGGTATAGAATGTGTAGAATGTGTACAACTAGAGTAGGTCAGTTTGATATTTAAATTGAGTTTTAAAACGTACGTACAGTTTGATATTTAAATTGAGTTTTAAAACGTACGTACATGCAAATATAAAGTTATTAATGTGAAAAAAAAACACTCAAATCTCATCAATCATCTGTTCCAGTTCAGTTTTCTTTCGTTTTCTTTCAACTGGAATGGGAAATCTGGTGCTTTTTTCGCAATTGTTGATGTAATGTAAAGTGATGTTCAGGGCCGAGCATTGTGGCAGAGGTCGGCTGCCTGTTTATGAGGGGAAAGTCGGGTCCTGCCCCCTCGTCCGGCGTCTCTCTCGTGGATGCCAAACATGATGATACAGTATCCATTATTATTCTACCATTATTAATATCATTATTATTACTTCAAATTTCTTGTATTAAATTAGATTTATCGTCAACATAATTATTATTAAATTAAAGTAGAAATATTAATATTTTAGTTTAAGTCGCAACAACACACAATACATACATTTTCTAACACAAAAGCGTACAGAGCCAGGAATGGCCATTTTAACAAAAGCTTAACGTTTGTTGCTGTATATATTGATATCAGTTATTTTTTTAAATAATTTGAAATTAAATGTTAAAATTAAATTGAAATATTAATAATAATAATATTAATAATAACAATAAAAACAATAATAATAATAATGATAACAACAACAACAACAATTGAAACTAAAGCGAATCGGGAGGTAAGTTATTTGAATCAGGAGATGTTTGATAAACACGCCTGCCAATCACAATAATAATAATAATAAATAATAATAATAAAATCAGCGAAATCACACGAAAGAATGGCAAAATGTAAAATTAAATAAAATCTATGGGTGTGAAAGCCTTGTAATGTTATTGTTTCGTTATGTTTCGTTCTGTATCGTTATGTACCGTTATGTATTTCTTGTATAGTATCGTAAACAGTGCTGTGTCTTAGAAATGATTTTCTCAATTGAATGATGTCATCAGCTTCATCATGCTACTCACCAACATTGTTAATTCAAAATGACAAAGTCGTCATCATCATCACCTAGCATAAATTCTGCAATGTTTCAATAATTACGTCGCTTTAATCTGAACTAAAATCTTCATCCTTATTCATAGTCTTTGCTGTCATCCTCATCTTCATCATCATCGTCATCATCATTTTCATCATCATCGACTTTATCGTCTTCATCGTCATCATTACCCTAATCATCATCATCGTCATCATTACCATCATCATCATCATCACCATAATCTCATTATCATCATCACCATAATCTCATCATCATCATCATCACCACAATCACATCATCATCATCATTACCATAATCATCATCACCACAATCACATCATCATCATCATTACCATAATCACATCATCATCACCACAATCACATCATCATCATCATTACCATAATCACATCATCATCACCACAATCACATCATCATCATCATTACCATAATCACATCATCATCACCACAATCACATCATCATCATCATTACCATAATCACATCATCATCACCACAATCACATCATCATCATCATTACCATAATCACATCATCATCACCACAATCACATCATCATCATCATTACCATAATCACATCATCATCACCACAATCACATCATCATCATCATTACCATAATCACATCATCATCACCATCGTCATCATTTACTCACTCTGTAAGCATTTATATCAAACGTGTTCATTATTTCGAATTTCAAACTGTACTCCAACACATCAATATGCATAAAAGTTGGTGTGTGTGTGTGTGATTGTTTGTGTATGCGCGTGTATGTGTGTATTTGCGTGTGTGCGTGTGTGCGTGTATGTGTATTTGTATTTATGTGCTGTATGTTTGCTTGTATATGGCAAAGGATGGATCCATTCCTCAAAGAAAAAAATTTTCACTGCTAACCTGCTCCAGCTTTATAATCGTTATCGAGATTTTATAAACTTAAACATACATACACGCATGCATGCGTACATACATACATACATACATACATACATACATACATACATACATACATACATACATACATACATACATACATACACAAATACATACATACATACAGCATAAGTATGTATTTATATAGTCATAAATTTATAAATACACTTAAGTACATGCACATAAATAAAAACACAATCTTTTATTATGCAAGTAAATGCATACAGGAAGTTCATTGTATGTATATTTGTATATATGTTTGTTCGTTTCTATGTTTGGATGTATGTTTATATGTATGTATGTATGTATTTATACGCACACAATATTGGACGCAAACATACATACATACGTACGTTCGTACATACATACATACGTACGAAACGAAACGAAACGAAATTTTTATTTGCTCCTCAAAATTACAGATAATAAATAAGAGACAGGATGAATGTGATCGAGCCCCTAATGGGCTCATCTAGCACAGCCACCTAGACAAATATGTTCAGAGTTTTGTGGTTAATATCAAATATTGTTAGTTGTTAGTATGTTAATAACAGTTAATAAAACAAAAGGTAGTTAACTAAAAAATAATGTTTCATAGATAGTTATAATCACATTAAAAATATCAACAGAAATTGTTTATAGATAGAGAACATAAATTTCATGATGTAAATACATTTCTTATATAATTTATTAAATTATTAATCATAGAATTAAATTAAATTAAACCATTCTTAATAATGTTATTCCAGGTCCTAGGACATTAAATGTTTAGTGATTTTATAAACATCTCTACATTATTAATAAGGATAATAATTTTAATAATTGTTAATTATTAAAAACGATTTAACTTTTTTTTTAAATCAGTGCCGATTTCGCCTCATATTGAAAACCATTCTTAATAATGTTATTCCAGGTCCTAGGACCCTTACAGATTACATGCGAATGTATAATGTTAGTTTTTGATTTATTCGATTGCAAATAATTAGACAACCTATGACTGTTAGCATGTTTAAAATAATTAGCAAACGTATTAGGCAATTGATTATTAAGCTGCTTATACACAAAAATCAAAGTGCGATAAATATTCAATTGATTAAAATTAAGATTATTAGTTGTCGTAAATAACTCCTCGGTATGAGACCTCATCGTTGACATGGTGAAGGTTCTGACGGCCCTTTTCATCATAAGTTTAACCGGATCCGTGACTGAAGGAGACGTGCCAGCCCAGACAATGTTGCAATAAATCACGTGTGGCATAAAAAGTGAGTGATACAACAAATTCAGACACTTTTTTGTGAGGTAGAATTTCACCTTGTTCATCAGACCAGTTGATTTGGCAAGTTTGTTTGCAACACTATTAACGTGATCACGGAACGTTAACTTTTGATCTAGATGAACGCCCAGAAATTTAACTGTTTTATTTTCGTAGATATTGATATTATTTATTTTAATTTTATAAGGTTCTTTGTAGTTTAAATATTGAGTTGGTCCAAAGATTATCATTTGCGTTTTAGAACTATTTAAAGTAAGTTTATTTAGTGAGAACCAAGAATTAACATGTTTAATTTCTTCTTCTGTATATTTGATGAGCATGTTAATATCTTTTCCTTTGCTGAACACATTTGTATCGTCAGCAAAACAAACATAATTAAAAAATTTCGAGGCCATCGGTAGATCGTTCACAAACACTATGAATAACAATGGTCCCAAAATGCTGCCCTGCGGAACGCCTATTTTGTTGATCAATTTACTTGAATTTTTATTGTTCCAAGTAACGAATTGATATCTTGATAAAAGGTAGCTACGAAACCAAGTCAAACTGGAGTCTCTTATACCATAATGATGAAGTTTGTGTAATAAAATCGAATGGTCAATACAATCAAAAGCTTTTGACAGATCGAGACATATTCCAATTACATAATTTTTCTTTTCACTTGCGACTCCAATTTTTTGAATCAGTTCCAGTATTGCCATTTCAGTTGAGTGGTTTTTTCGAAAACCAAATTGATGATTAGAAAGAATGTTATTTTTTTCAAAAAATTTGAGCAAACGACTGTGCATCAATTTTTCAATAATCTTCGAAAAAACAGGCAACAAAGATATAGGTCGAAACCTCTGAGTTACCTCTTTCTTTTGCAATTGGAACAACTTTGGATGTCTTGAAACACTTAGGAAAGATGCCCTTGTCAAATGATAAGTTGATTAAATATTCAAAAATTGTTGCTGTTGATTTAATTGTTGATATTACTATTTTGGTTGATATTTCATCGTAACCACTCGACGTCTTAGTTTTGAAAAGTTTTGTGTTTGAAATGATTTCAGATGATGAAACACGGTTACAAAAAAATGAATTTACTGACCCATTTTGAAGATAATTTTTCCATCTTGTGTCTTCTACAAATGATTGCTGCATGTCTGAGGCCAGATTGATAAAATAATTATTGAGGATAGTTTCAGGATTATCAATTGGATCATCATTTAAAGTTAATTGAATTGTTGATGTTTTTTTGTTATTTCGTTTCGTTAAAGAATTGATGATTGACCATGTTTTCTTGCTGTCGCCATTGCTTTGTTGTAGAAAATTAAAATAATATTGTCTTTTCAACTGGCATTTGATCTTGTTGCATAATTTGTTGCATGATTTGAGTGCTGTAAAGTTGTCTGACGATGTGTGCTTTAGATATTTTTTATATAACATTTTCTTCCTTTTTAACATTTTTTAAATTCTTTAGTTATCCACGGTTTGTTTTTTGTCATCTTCTGAGCCTGTCTTTTAGAGGTCACTGAACAATAAGATTTATAATGTAACCGAAAGATGCCATTTAAATTACTTATTCTGTGTGTTGAATAAGAATATTTTGAAAATGTAACGTCAGCAACTGTCTTATTATTTATTTTTTGATTAGTGGAAGCAAAAAGTGGGATGTGGTCTGATAGGTCGCATAAAATGGTACCACATTGTATAATATTTTCTGGATGATTTGTAAACAAAATGTCTATAGCGGATTTTTTTGTATTACTGATTCTTGCAGGAACTGTGATCATGGATTTGAGGTTGTAACATGTCACAAGTTGGTTCAATTGAATTTTATTTATACTGCTAACTTCTGGCGATAAGTCGATATTTAGATCTCCCAAAAGATAAACAAATTTATTTTCATTACTAGTTATTTGTGAAACTTGTTCTAATTCTTTAAAATATTGTTTAATTTTGTATATTGGAGGTCGATAACTAACCATCACAATTGAATTTTTAGATTTAAAATTGTTAATGATCTCTATTGCAAACATTTCAAACTTTGGCGAGCCAATGGTATTTAAATCATTTCTTATTCGAAAGGTAGAATCATTACAGACATAGAAACCAACCCCTCCACCGTGTTTGTCACGACGATTTTTGTCTACATATCTATATTCATCCATGCCAAGCAAACTTTCAGTACGTTCGTTTAACCAGCTTTCTGTTATCGCAACTACATTGAATTTGATGTGACTGTTTGACAAATAGCTTTCTAATTCATCGGTTTTGTTGACCAAACTTCTTATGTTCAAATGCATTAAGTTGAAAAACATACTGCTATCAAAATCTTTATTTATTAATTTATATTCATCATTCAACGACTTAAAATTGTCATACCTTTTACATGTAGTTTGCTTGGGGTTTAAATTGTCTTTTTCTTCATCATCACTGCTGTCATCATCATTATCAATATGTTGTCTATCCATCTTTTTTTGTTTGATCGACAATTGTTTCTGGTTTCTTATTGAATTGCCACTCGCGTACTATAATGTGCTGGGGCATTATGTCAGGGTCTTTCATTTTCTTAGAATCAGAGCTATCGATGCAAACTCTAAACGTACTGGATTCTTCTTCATCTGTTTTTTTATTCTCAGTTTGACTATTATTATTGTTATTGACGTCGGCTGTAGAAGCTGGTGCCATTTTATTGAGTTGTTTGAGTACGGGATAACAGGAAACAACATGGATACCATTGTCGGTTAGGTAGGCCATCACATCATTTCTGTGGCACTTGCTGACGTTGCTTAAACAGAACACAGATTTTTTCATTGAGATTTTATCTGCCTTCAGTTTGCAATCATTTGAAACTTTTTTACCGATTATTTTCATAGCTGTCTTTTTTCCAGTTTGTTTGTTGTTTGTTGGGTTGTTGCTGGTTTCTCCTGAGTTGTTTTGTTTCTCACAATTGTTGTTATTTTGACGTGATTTTTTTTCCGTTTACAGTTGAGAACGGGGTACCGTTGTCTTCTGACTTTGCTATGTCTGACCACAGAGAACTACTGACATTTTTCTTCTGTCCCTCCTTGTTTGTCATTTCAGTACTGTAGTCACTTATACTCACTTAGAATTTAATTTATTTTTCAATGTATTTACTTCTGGTTTATTAATATCAGCAGTTTTAATAACGTTTTTTAATGAAATAATATCAGCTTTATTACTTCCAACAGTTTCAATAACTTTGTTAAATTGCACCTGTTGTTTGTGTAATATATCTTTTAATTCTAGTTTGATAGTTTCAAAGTTCAATGTTAACAAATTTTCAGACTTTGGAACTTTATTTAAATTACAACTAACAAATAATGGACATTTGTCCCAACATTTGTTTTCTTTCAACTGTTTATTTAACGATATACATTCCAATATTTTCTCAATTTTCATGTTCCCGCGCGACTGCAATTTTTCACTTTTTTCAATTTTAAAATTATTTAATTCATTTTTTAGCAATTTAATTGCATTTACAATATCTTCATGAATATAAAATACAGATATATTATTAATAAACGTTTCATTCTCAACTAAATTCCAATTATTTTCTAAACAATACAGGAACTCATTTATTACAAGCAACCTGGACGCCATTTTTTTTACGTACATACATACATACATACATATATACATACATACATACATACATACATACATACATACATACATACATACATACATACATACATACATACATACATACATACATACATACATATATACATACTTGGCCTGGTCATTCAAAATAAATACACGTGCCGATGTGGCGCTGAGGCGGACGAGTTTGGGCACCACGGTTTGGTTTGTCGCCTGGGTGGGGGCCGTCAACTACGTCACTCAGCGCTAAACGATTACATTTGTCGGCTCTTCTCCAAGGCTTCAATCCCGGTTCTCAAGGAACCATCCGGCATTTCTGCGCATGATGGTAGGCGACCGGACGGATGCACGCTAATACCTTGGAGAGCCGGCAGATGTTTGGCGTGGGATGTTACGGTCCCTGGCACCCTCGCCGAACGATACGTAAACCTGACAAGTAAAGAATGCGGTTTGGCCGCGGCCAGGGCAGCGGACGAGAAAATGAAAAAATATGGGAATGCCCTCCCCTCGATGGAATTCTTGCCAATATGCATCGAGGTTCTCGGCCCGATGGACCCCAACACCCTTAAATTTCTCAAGGAAATAGGCAAAAGGATCAGTGTCAGATCAGGTGACAGCAGGGAACTGTTTTTTGCAACCAACCACATTTCGTGCTTGTTGCAGCGGTTCCTGCGTGTCTGTGTGCTTGAAAATATCCAACTGAATGCCGACATGTGCAATTAACGACAAATCAAAGTGTTAATCCATTTGTTACTTGATGTTTGACGGTTCAGTGCCACTCATCATGTTTTGGTTTTAACATATATACATACATACATACATACATACATACATACATACATACATACATACATACATACATACATACATTCATACATACATACATACATACATACATACATACATACATACATACATACATACATACATAC